CCTCAAATATGACGTCACACATCCGGGTCACAAATCACTTTGGGGGTTTTTAACACATTTGAGCGCCCTAGTTGTTGCTATTTCTAATATTGCCATTGTATGAATATAAAATTAATATTTTGAATGAATACAAGATTCATACATGTCATTTTTTAATAGATTATATGTTATGTATTAATACTGATTGCTATGAAGGTCATACTTACCATTTAGTACAGTTCTCTTTTCAGTCTTACATTTTATTATTTTATTTTATCATTCTTGTAAATAAAATTATACATATTATTGGTTGTACGCATTTTTAAAGTCACTATTTCTATTTTTATTCTTTAACAATCGTGATTATTTTCTGTAACACAGCAATTTAACACTGTAATCCACATGTGTCAAACTCCAGGCCTCAAGGGCCGCTGTCCTGCTTGTCTTCCAACTAACCTGCCCTTGTAGCTTTTTATTGGCAAAGCACACCTGATCCAGGTAATCAGCAGCAGGTAGGGCAGGGATATCTCAAAAACAAGCAGGATGCTGGCCTTTGAGGACTGGAGTTTGACACCCCTGCAATCAATCAATCAATCTATCTATCTATCTATCTATCTATCTATCTATCTATCTATCTATCTATCTATCGATCGATCGATCGATCGATCGATCGATCGACATTTTAACTGTTTCCCCTCTCGAGGTCCCTTCACGTGTTACCTATGTACATGGTTGCACACACTAAAAAGTAATTATTGCTTTAATTATTCATTAAGTGAATGATTCCAGGTATTTTCCACAAAATACATTTTGACATGTCACAGCAGGTAGAAAAAGCAAACTTACTGTTTTGCTATGACTGTTTGCCCTTGAAGAGATGAAAGTCATTGTCAGTGTGATTCGTAACAAATTAAAATCTCAGCTCTCAAGAATACAGAGCTTTCTGTACAGGGGAATTCATTAGTGTAGAATTGCTCCGATAATTTCTTTGATTATCCTTAAACGTGTGTTTTAACTTGAACAAGTCTGAACAAGATCAAGCTCACAGTGACGGGGTTTACATCAGGTCTGACTGTGAGGCTTATCTCACTGTGCAGGTTGTGAAGCTCTGCAGTAATGGAGACAGAGGAGCAATCTGGCTATTGACAGTAAGCTTTTAACCCTTTTCACTGCACAGCCAGGCTTTGTTTGACTCCAAGGATTATGGCCACATACAAAGCTCTGCACCCATCAAGAAAGCCATCCCTGTCAGAGCTACTGACGTCATTACTCTTTAAAAACAAGATGCTACCAGAGAGTCTGAAGAGTGTTCAGCTTCAGAGATGGACAGAACCACTTCAGCTACGCTCACTTTGGTGGTTTTCTTCCTCTGCTGGAGTTGTCACGCCAAGGATGATACTGAAGCTCAATCCTGCCCAGAATACCAGGAAGGTTTCGACGGCTCGTGCTACGAGTTTGTGGATCTGCAGCGATCCTTTCAAGATGCTGAGGAATGGTGTGAGCGAGGCGGAGGACACTTGGCCTTTATCCTGAACGATGAGACGCAGCAGTTCCTTCAGAAGCACCTGAAGCCTGACAGGAACTGGTGGCTCGGAGTGGCACCTGCTGCTCCCAACCTCACGCTTGACTCTGCTGCCACTGAGGGTGAGAGGAGGCACTGAATGACTTCTTATGACTGTATGGACTGTTTGTGAAGCCACATGCATTTCAGTGCTAATATATATAAACAGTTAGAAAAAAGGTTTTGCAAAAAGTTAGTAAAATTATTGCTTCTTTATAATAGACAAGAACTTCTTTGAAACACACTATAAATATTAAGTATTCTGGTGCACTTATTGACAGAAAAGAGGTATAAGTGATCAATGATTATATTACAAAGTGCACCATAAATGTCAGAAATGAAGGCATTAGAACCTCTACTGCTATCTCACTGGGCAGCTTGTGTGTGCATTGTAAATAATTGTGATGTGTTTGTTTACTGACATTCGCAGTGAAAGGAACCCAGTTGGATATCTCAGCCAGCAGGTGTAATGGGAGATAATTCTCACTCTTTTGAACTATTCAATAGGGTGGCTGTCACAAGGCCTGATTTACAGTGGTGTGTTTGTTTCCCTTCACAGAGGACAAGACTTTACCCTTTATTCACCCCGTCTGTTCTTTACTGTCGGAAAGAAAACAAATGGGGATGCAGTAATAACATTTCCACTGCATTTCACTTGATTATCAAAAGTAATTGTTGTGCTTTTTCAGGTGTTCTCGCATGGTTGGACAGCTCAGATGTAAGTTACAGTAACTGGGTTAACTTGCCAGATGATCAAGCAGCCTGCGCGCATGTCCTGAGACACTCAGGCTTTCAGTGGGAAGCTACAGAAAACTGCAGCCAGGAATTTAACTTCATTTGCCAATTTGGTACACGCCCTTAAAAAACTTCATATATGACAATACAATTATGCTGTGTTTCTTTTTCTTATGTAACTTTTCTTCCTTTTTTTCTCCCTGCAGATTCTGGGAGATCAATTGCATGTGACGGTCAAAACGCTACACTGCAGTGTGGTTCTGGTCAAGTTATAGAGATTGATGACAGTTTTTACGGTCGTAAAACAATCCACTACTGCCGATCCCAACTTACACCCTCATCCACGTCTTCAAAGGAAGAGTGCAGCTGGATCGATGTAACAGATTATGTAACAGGTATTATGGGTCACATCTTTTTAATTGACTTGATCAAGCTTTTGATGGCAGCTATGATACAGAAACAGAAAAACATGTTTACAATAGGTTGGGCTACTCGTCATTTACTTAACCAGTTATTTACCTTGTTACATTTTAGAATGGTAAATTCTGCGGATGCGTGCAGTGTTTGTCTTTAAGCAACATCATCCAAAGGCCAAGAAAAAACTTAGTAAAATCAACACTATTATGTTTTTGTTCCTCGATTCGTGTAAAACATGAAAGCCATCATTGCTCTGTGACTGCAGACAAAGGGGTTATACTGCCAGAAACTAAATTTGTGTAATCCCTCCCTGTTGGAGGTGAAAGATGGGGTAGAGATAATCTACATCCACATTCATAGCAGTATTAGTTATGCTGGAGGGGTTAGTAAGCTTCTCCCTCTTTAAAAAGCTATTATGCAGTCTCACCAGAAGCTTGTAGATACAGAAGGAGGATGTTGAAATTTGATAGTATGAACATTAAATAGCAGCATTCTTTTTAAACAAAAACAACTTGGGCAAGATTTATTTAGATTTAAATCCCATTTATAGTAGATGCAAGAAATCTGATTGGAACACTTATTCATACTTTTTGGGACTTTCCCCGCCTCCCTAAATTCTGAAGGGAGGCCTTTAAAATCTTGATCAGTCTCCAATAACTCCAGTATTTGAAATATTTGGTTGAAATAATATGCCTTCTAACATATAGGTTGCATTTGCTACACAAATAGCTAGAAGCTTAATGCTTATAAAGCGGAAGGATGAGACATGTCCCAACCACACTCATTGGATCAGAGACTGAGTGCATTTCCTGGACTGACTTTGAAGAGATCAAGTGATAAGTTTTATAGGGTCTCATAGCCATTTATCTTGGTGAAGAATGCCAATTTCGCGACACATTTATTTAAAAATAATAAATATTTATATCTCACTTGTTTATCTAGCTAACTCAATTTTAGCATTTATTGTTTTTATTTGCTTTTTGTGTGACTTTTTCTGCGTTGCCTGTAAAGTCTTATCATTAATGTGCAAACCCTAATAAATAAAGTGTGTTTCATTGCCGTTTGCTCGGCTTGCTGTATGTGTTATTGCAGCTCACTGCCACGGACTGCAGGCTTGCCAGGCTGGAGTAGATCTGAGCGCTTTTGGTGAACCATGTCCAGCGCTGGGAAGTTACCTGTCTGCAGAGTATCGCTGCAAAAATGGTCAGATGCACGATTTCTTGTTTTATATACACTTTTTGCACTAAACCCATCAGCCTAAGCTCAACCTGAATTCATAAAGACCAGCTGATCAAAACAGATTCCATAGTGCTTATGATGTTATGTGCAAAGATCTTTGACTGTATGTTTCCACAAGTCTAATTCAGTGATGTGATTTCCTCCTAGGGCTTCAGCTGCTGATGAGTAAACTTGCAGCTGTCTTCGATAATGTCACCATCACCGTGAAGTGGCTCCTGCAACCATTCCAGGGAAACTTAACATGCACAGTGAATGCTGGGGATGGCCACACTATTGATCCATACAGCCCAGAAGAGTGAGCAAAGATTTGCAGTTGACCAAATATGTTAGATGGATCTTAGTACTTTATTTATATCACAAACACTGCTGCTTTTTCACAGAATGGAGAGCACAATTATACACAAATTCACACATCCTGGTGTCTTCCTGGTTGGAGTTGAGTGCACTACCAGTGACTGGAATGTCGCAGCTCAGAAGTCCATAACGATTCAGGAGCCAGTTGGAGACTTCAGTGTGATCATGTGTAATGGCCAGAATATGTCAACAGGTGGCACTAAATGCAATGCCCTCTTCAATATTCCAGTTCAAATCCAACTTGCAGTGGAGGCAGGTGAGTCAGTTTGGCAGCACAAGGGGTGCGACGATACGTCTAATAAGCCATTTCTCAAAAATAGAAGATCATTCTGTTCTTATTTTCTGTAACTAGGTACAAATGTTTCCTACACAATTCATCATGAAGCCCATTTAGTCGCAAATCAATCAGTGGGCAGCGGAATCATACCACACAATATTACCCTGAATGCAAGCATGGTGAAGAAGCTCGGTCATGGTTGCCACAAATTCACCTTAGCTGCATCTAACAGGGTCACAACCCGCACGGTGTCTGCTCATCTAGAGCTGTGTCTGCTGCATCCCGTTGAAGGCCTGCAGGCCTCTGTGATTGCGGAGGAAGACGTATGTCCCGACTCTGGTGATCTCATCATTAACATTTCACTGGAGCGAGGAGCCCCTGTGGAGCTGCTCTTCACACTCACTGGAGCTGAGGACACTCTGTCGGAGAGCAGAGACATGCTCGCTGATGGCTTGCAAACTTACACATTCTCCAGCCCACTTAAAGGTACTTAAAGCTTGAGTCATGCTCCTGTTAAGATAAAACAAGTACCAGTTATATATGATTTGTGCCCGATTTGGTTCAACATGATCTCTTTTGGTAAAGGATCTTTGCAAGTGAACGTAAGAGCCACCAATGGCCTTTCATCCTCTGATGTCGATGTGGACTTAGACAAGATTCTTGAGGCTTGCCAGAATTACTCTGACTTTTCACCGAGCACCGATGAACATACAGTATGTAAAATATAATTTTAAACAGAAATAATCTGGGAACTTGTGCAAAATATGTAGCCTGTTGCAGAAATGACTGCAGCACAATGACTCTGTTTTCCTCTCCAGGCAGATAATGTGAGTGACAGTGACTCTGCTGACTTGAAAATAATTGCTACTCCTGACACTTTGGTTGACTACACTCAGAGGGTTACACTGACAGTAACTGGAACTGAATCATTGCCTAGCAAAGAACTGGCATATGAATGGGAATGCAGTAAGTACAACACTAATTCACTGATCACTAAATTGTGATATGATGCATGGGTCGAGGGAAACCTGGTCATTCAGATCCTTGTTGAAACCACACAAGCTCTGCCTCTGCATCATCGTGAAATTTGTTTTGGATGTATCGGGGAAATACGTAATCACACAACAGTACAATCAAACTGAAACTGTAATCTGTGATCATTACAAGACAAGAAACAGAAGAGTGCATTATGTCCTAAGTCAAGAAAATTTGCACAGAAAATAGTGTCAGATTGCAGCTTTAGCAAACAGAGCTGATGCTGCACTGCATTGCTTATACAAAATGTTTTATGATTCATCTTGCTATACCACAGCATTATTATGACATCATTATTATTGTGGTCTTATATTGAGACTGTTTCTGCTTTTTTTTTTCCACACAGGAGATTGCAAATGCAAAAACAAAACAATGGATGAAACTCATGTGATTGAACGAGAATGCCTCCCAGATCCATTTGAAATGTTCAGATACATTTTAAGAGTAAAGAGAAGGACTTGGTTTAGGAAATGGGGTGAACTTGGAACAGCTTCTAAATGTGTCTCTGTTGTTCCTTCAAAAGAACTCACAGATGTCACCATCAGGTAAAATGGGTTTATTTAGAAACAATGGTATTTGTACAGGATTGCAAAAATGCATCAGGAACTACAACCAGTATAAAAAAACTCAACTTACTTTATCTTCTTAATTCTTGCAGCTGTGATAATTGTGCTTCAATAAATGTGAATGACCAGGCAAAGCTAAGACTGAGCTGTTTGACGACTTGCCCGCATGTAGTTTGGTATATTGAGGACCTTAAACCTTTGACAGTAAGTCTGAAACAACAACAGGAAATGTGGCTAAATAGACCCGTGTGGCAAACAAAAAATAACTAATGAGTTCTCCTTAGGGTAGCCTCGGTAGATGCTACTCCAAAGCGGGAAGACGGCCCCTTACGGAGAAGCACGATGGCAACATTGAATATACCGTTCACAGCCAATATCTAAAAGTCTCAAGGGACATGCAGCAGAACATCACTGTAATTGCTTATGGTGTGTTTTCATGTCATAGATAGACACAGAACGTGTCTTTTAAAAGACATTTTTGATCAAAGTCTAGAAAACAAATTATACCTGATCATTTATTTCTTTTTTTCTTTTTTTTATTTATTTTTTAAACAGACAAGAAGGAGCCGGGGTTTGTCATGTACACCCTTCCTATACCAGCCCCCGAGCCAACTGAACCACCTACAAACTCAGTAGTCACAACTGATGCACTGATGGATCCCTCAGTGCCCTCATGTAGCATCTCCCCACCGTCGGGAACTGTGCTCGATGCTTTTGACATTACCTGCAAAACAACTTCTTTCTGCTCTACAGGCTGTCTCTATTGCTTCAAGACCAACACAGGTGAGAGTGTGGTGGAGTGTAATTAGTGTTATTGATGAACGC